CATTATTTTTCTCGGCTTAAGACTCGGGAGAGAAAGAAGGGGAGATGTGAAATGATAGACCGTGTATTTCTATATACAGGCTCTCATCACATAACTGGAAATGGAGTTGGATTCAAACCGGACATTCTCGATATGGATGTCATGGAAGAAGTTCTTACCGTAATCTTCATTTGCTCGTTATATTATCTTAATTTACCTTAAAAATTGGGGGCAACAAATGAACTTGTCAGCTAACAGGATTAGTCCATTGGCAGGTTTCTAGTGAAGATGCTGTGAACATGGCCAGACAATTGGCACTAAAGGAGGGTCTCATGGTATAACATTCTATCATACCAACATTTTTCGAATTCGTGGAATAATTACGATAATCAGCCACAATGTTTAGCCTAATTACCGAAAAATATAGTTACATTTTTCAAATTTTGGCATTTTAAGGTGGGAATTTCATCTGGAGCTAACACAGTTGCGGCTCTTAGACTTGCCAAAAGACCCGAAAACAAGGGCAAACTCATTGTGGTAAGAAAAAATCACATGAAAGGCTTTGTATCTTCTATCTTGATCACTTAATTAAATCTATCTAAGCAAACACTTAGTGCTCTTAGTTTATCGAGTCTTCAATTCGTGGTAACCGATGGAGAATTAAGATCGGATATGATATGATTATATTTTCGGAAGATATATTTTCTTATGCCGATGTTGTGAGTATCCATATTGAATTGACGTTAGCATTTTGAGTATTTTTTATATTGATTTTTTTCAGACCGTTCATCCGAGCTTTGGCGAACGATACTTGTCGTCCGTCTTGTTCCAAGAGTTAAGGAGAGAAGCTGAGGAAATGCAGCCTGTTCCAGTTGATTAAGGGCTGTAACAAGATCTGTGGAATATAGTTTGCCTAAGAATATTTTGAATTTGTTCACTTGGTGTAAGTAATTTGTTGTTCCAATATGTAATAATAAACACAGCATAAAGCATGAATGTCAAAATTTCAATAGTGTTATGGAAAATAAATAGTAAATAAAGGTAGAATAAAGCAAAAATAAGTAAAAATAAATAAAAATAATGATGACTTGTGAATCAGTTCTAGTGTGACATGAGTATGATTATGACTTTAAATTATATTATAATGACAATTATTGCAGCATATATATAT